CAAAAAAGGAACTGTTTGTTATATTGTCACATTATAATGCTAATATAAGTGATTGTTATTGTACACTTCTCCTTAACCAAGTTTGAAGAAACAAAATATCTGTGTTTAATAATTTTTGCATATCAGTATTTTTCGTAGACATCGTTGACAACTGCTTTTTCCTATAAAAATGGAACTCATAAACTTTCTTACATGTACTTTTTCGCTGGTCATTTGTAAAATTACTTTGTGAAAGAAAATCTGATTGTACACACGAGATTAATCTAAAGTTGATATCAAAATATTTCCATTTTTAATTTTTTTTCTCTGTGATTACTGTTTGAAAGTTGGGAGAATTCATTTCTTGATAATTCTGCCGGAATGTACACACACATAAGTCAGCAGCAAAAGTTCAATGCAAATCTGGTCCCCCGCTTGTCTCTGTGTCTGACGCTAAGGAGGCCAAATATGCATGAAATTCTCGTGCGGCTGCCTTTGTGTTTGACGTCAGTGTGCGATGTGGCAACTCACTTTGAAAAAATTACGCACTTTGAAAATTTTTTTAAAAGAACGTTAAAATTGGGACAAAATCAACGCACTTTGAAAAAAATTTTCAAAGTGCGATAAACTTTGACAAAATCAACGCACTTTGAAATTTTTTTTCAAAGTGCGTTAAGAGTCTACATCAATATAATTTACCATGGAGACACTTGACGCACTTTGAATAAAAAAAAAAAATCATTTTTAGTCATGGAAAGATTTTATTTGTTATTTATCTTTCAAAAAAATAAGCCTAACCCTAACCTCAAAAATGAATTGATTTTACTCCCGTCGAAAGAGGAGAAGACGGGTATAAGATCCCTAAGTCCAAATCTTTATCTTTTCAATACATAAGTGTCGGTAACAAACGGGGAGGGGAGCAATAAACCTGAAAAGGGTACGCTGCATTTTCAATGCTAATACGATGTATATATCTTTCCAAAATAATTGGGGGACTTAGCCCCATCCCCTCCCCTGGCCCTTCGCCCAGTCTTGATGTCTATTCTATACTCAAAGCATTCATATAATTATGTATTTATCTAACTGCTATGACGTTGAAAACTTTCAATAATAAATGAGTTAATTGAAACAGAGGAAAACTAGAAATTTTTAAGTACAGTAAAATGTATGAGAGAGAAAGAATTTTCATGGTTTTGAACAATCAAATTGGCCCCTTTTTATTATGATAAATGCTAAGTTGCTTGAAGCTGTTGTCATGTTGTAAATTTTGAATTTACTTGGTGACAGTAAATACAAAATTTACAACATGACAAAAATTTACAACATGACAAAGTTGTCATGTTGTAAATTTTGTATTTACATGTACTGGCACCCGGTAAATTCAAAATTTACAACATAACACTGCTGTTAGTGCCCCCTATACACTTTTACATCTACTTATCAAAGACTAGAATTAAAAAAAAGGGGGGAAACGAATTAGTGAACTTAAACAATCGTCACTCTTTTTTTCAAGACCCTTTTCTTTTATTTTATCAAAACCTTAAATATTTAAAACGTCAATATCTCAGGTCCTACAGTGACTTTATCATAAAAAAGTTATCAAACCAGTGTCTGTTATTTATCATACCGATTATTTGAAGGAATATTGATCAATCTTTACATTTTTTTCAAAGTGCGTTAATATGGTCGATATTAACGCACTTTGAAAAAAATTTTTTTTTCAAAGTGCGTTAGCTTGGTCCCAAATGTTAACGCACTTTGAAAATTTTTTTCAAAGTGCGTAATTTTTAAAAATGCGTTGTAACAGTGCGAGGTCTATTGAAATTAGCATGGAAGTCCTCGTGTAATTTAAATCTATATGTCTACATTTTTAATGTCTAAGTCTACAATTTTATTTCACAATGAAATGGAAATATAAGGAATCACTGTCTAGTTTTGAGAGTATGCCAGGGACATCAACAATTGTGGGAAACATGGAATAATTTTAGCATAACGGGCTTCGCCTTAACTATATACCCTCCCGCTTTTCAAGCGGGGGGGGGGGGGGTAAAATGACGATAACGTTCTAACTTTACATTGCGTATGTCTTTCAAAGGACATGATACGTGCATGATATTATATAGATCTAATTTTGTGGGCTTTAAAATGACGAAATGTACATTAAATATCAAGCATTGAAGAGTAAAATGTTAGGATTTAATTAAGGATTTAATTTATATTTCTAATAAAAGAACTTAGAGGAACATAACGAAGGGAAATCTTGCTGGAATCCCAGTCTGGAATGTCAGACACGACCTGGGGGAGAGTGCACAATGCAGTACGCTTCAAACGCGTAATTAGATGAATGTCCATGGCAGGATTTTTTTTAATTCCTGGGAGTCATTATGTTGTACATATTTTAATATGTAAATAATAATAGTAAAGAGAATCAAATTCTAAATACAGAAAACATTTACTTTATTACTTTTTTCTAGATTGTAACGTTTGACTTTATCCAAACGCATCCAAAGAGCGATAACTCTTTGAATCTCTCAGATCGAATCGAATACATGTATTAATTATCTTGACGCTATACTTTTAAAAATATGTTAAACATACAATCAAAAAAAAAAAAAAAAAAAAAAAAAAGCCATAGGCGTCGAACCAGAAGGCCACTTTTTTTTTAAAGATAGACTTAGTATAGACATTGAACACTGCTGCGTAGGTTAACCCCCTCCCCAACTTTCCACAGACACGTTGCGGTATACAATGTAGGTTTAAAGTGGGGAAAGTGATGGTGTTAGAGAGAAAAATTTTGGTACTGAAGTTCGAACCTAACCCCCCCCCCCCCCCCACATACCCCCTCTTTTTTTTTGCTTGTCAGGTTTTTTGTAGGTATAAAAAAAATTCTTATAATTAGCCCCCCCCCCACTTCCAATTTGCTTCCGACGCCAATGAAAATTATCTAGGAATGATTCGTATGTACATGCATGATGACCTTAAGTGTCGAAAAAATCAATATCAGATATTAAGGTTTGAGAGGTCCTGATTTGAATATTACAAGGTCAGATGGTGTTCTTGAATTGGATAGTTCATGTGCATTTCGCTCTGGTTAAAGCGTTTGCTCTAGACTAGTGTCACAGGTTCGAGTGTTCTGATGAGACCTAAACGAGGTCAGTGCTGAATATGAAAATAACATTTTATAATCTAATTTAAGGGGGCCGACTATAGTTTCCATTGCGCAATATTTCGCGCATCATATTAAAATGAAGCGTATTTACTGTTTTAATGCAACTTTTTTCGCTTAATTATTAAAATTAAACAAAATTAAGAAATTATAGGTATAAAAATGTAATTACAATTTGATATAACTGATTTTTTTCACCGATTTTGCAATTGATAGGTAGGTTGTCGTCGTTGCTGTGTGTTTTTGACGTTATGATAATCTGTAGCTCTTAAAAAAAGGGTTAATAAATATATTATTAAAGAAAAAGTAATAAACATACGCTCTTGAAATTTAAAACATAGAAATTTGAGAATATCTCCAGTATTTTTATTATGTTTTCAGGTGAATCCATTGCGTACGTCTTATTTAGTGATACTCTTTAAAAATAGTAAAATTTGCTAATTTTTTGCATTTTGAGATGCCCCCTCTGGTAACAAGACGGTAGAATTTTGTGTTCCTTATATATATTAAATAATATAGTATTATTCATCAAATATTATAGTTTGAACAAAATGTCTATTGTAGTATTTGTATAATTTCCTTTAAAGTGCTAAAAATTGGCATTTTCCTATATAATCCTATAGTAAATGTACCTGTATTTTGAGACGGTTCCTGAAAAATACCTGGACGGTAAATTTCCCCTAAAATTTGCATATACACTGAAGTTAATGTAAACTATATATGGTGTAAAAATGAAGGGTTTCGCTATTGTAGTTTTCACACAATAAAACTATAGTCGGCCCCCTTAATTCCCTTGCAAATTATTTTGTTCCTAACCTTACACTCCGGCCCTGGACTCGCGTCTAGATTTTTTATTTTCATGATCATGCTTTAAGTAATAAAGCATGACATTCAAAGGATAGTTTCAAATTACAATTAAAATTTCAAATTTCAATTTTTTTTTTTCATTTCATATGCCATCTATGTGCCTGGGCGGATGCTGGATAGTAGCTGCAGATCTGTAGCTCTCCGGAAAAAATATATTGATAGTCCGGTCTGTCAATTTATTTTTTTCGGAGAGCTACAGTTCTGAAGCTAGCTGGATAGATGATTGCGAGTTTGAGAACGGAAAAATAAAACTATTCAATTAGAAGCACAATACTTGTAGTATCATAGGCGTAGTCACAGGGGGGAGGGCAGCGGGGGCACTAGCCCCCCCCCCCACTTTCAGATCGGGGGGGGGGGGCAAGAGTGTGTCTGTGCCTCCCCCCCCCCCCCACTTTTTAATGAAGAACAGAATCACAGTAATATAGTTGTATAATATAGTAATGTAATATAGTAATTAAATCCTCAAGACCTTTTGTGTTCACCAGGTTGGGATAGGGAATGCTGGTCAAATTGAATTGAAAGTTGGCCACTACCCCCCCCCCCCCCCCCCCCCCCCCCCACGAAATAGGATTTTCGATTTTGGGAAACTTTTTTTATTTTTATTTTGCTGGTCAAAGAAATTCTGGACTTGAACCCCCTCACTTTTAAGTTTGTGACTACGCCTCTGAGTATACATATTTATCAGTACATATTTTGTAGTACTGAGGTTTCATTGATTTTTCCTCGTTTTAGGATGAGACACACCTAACACCGGCCCTCCTCCAATTACATATCACAAACTTTATTTATTTTAAAACAGGGATTAAACCATGTTCCCGATTCTAATATTAAAAAAAAACAGAGTCCCCTACCTGAAAACACAATAAAACAGAGTTACATAATCTGCGTCGTATGCGGTAGACCAATGCGCGCCAAATTCACAAGCACAAGAAGATGTTGGATCCGCTCATTTTAAACATACGACGTCACGCATGAAAAGAAGCGGCTCGCTACCTGTACAGGTGTTGACAATATACAGCGCACTAGACCATATCTAAACCTCGAGTAAACAAACAATTAACTTTAACAGTCCACCAGGATTTCCTTTTTGTATTGCGCTGCAGGACGACGGAAAAATTTGCAGCCCATGACACCGTGTTTGTTGGCGGATTTATTGACTCGAGTTATCCCCCTTTATGCAGACTGTTGAATGGTGTTATTGATTCTGCGTGTGACGAAAGAAGAGATCGAACGGTTTTATTGTCTGTGAGGATTAATAGACTACAGGACATTGAAGACCAAATCTAAGTAAGTACGATTTGATTCGTAAATATGGCATGTCGAGATTAAAACAATATATTTCCTAGCGGGTCATAGACTCAAAGACTTGCAAGGACCATGTAGGCCTACACATTTCACGTGTGCATTTTCAGGTCAATATGATCATTCAGGATTATGAGCTAGACCGCACCCGAGTAGACATCACAATCTCTCTCTCTCTCTCTCTCTCTCTCTCTCTCTCTCTGTATACTTAGGTTTTGGTCATTTATTAGTTTCGAAAAAAGTCCCACTTCTTCATGTTCTTAAAATATATATATATATATATATATAAATTATTTCGACATGTTCAACCTCATGCCTGTATCCTGTATCCCAATGCAATATTTTAGCAGTTATAAATTAACATTACCCCCCCCCCCCTTCTCCTCACTCACACACATTTACAGTGTACCTGGTGTACATGTATGTCATCCCAAAGTATTCAGATTGACAACAACTTAATGGGCATGATAGATTCTGAATCAGCTTCTTCCAGAATAATGTGTTTGTAATGGATTTTAAACATATTATAAAACTCAAAGGATTATTGCTTTAAAAATAGGATCATAGCAAATCAGGCATGAAATATTCAGAGTATGTAGAAATGTAAATAGAAGAAATAAAATAAAGCAAAAATGTGCATAGCTGGGTCCTCCAAGAGTCCACAAATGAACCACATCATCAATATATAAATTGCTAGCATTATTATTATAATCATGATAATGTTTCGTGATATATGATAATAATTTAATAATTTTATGTACATCGAACATTGTATGCCGCAATGCATGTATATTAATGTATGCATGTTGTAAATATATACAGTCATGTACATGTAATTTTCTAATTGACATTAATCTTCAGTACATCTAATTACTACATGTGGAGCTAGTGTAACATCTATTAGTCAAGAGAAGATCCTGAATGTCTGAGTAGAAATTGTTAGTGTTATGTATACGTATTAACTGATGTCATATTACATGTTGAAAATGTATCTGACTGCACTCATTTCAAGTTGCAAATTAAGAGTTACATATGTACAGTAATGATGAACTATACTCATTTATACCTGAACTTTTCACCTTCTCTGTTTATACATGTATCATTAAATATGGATGCACATTGACAATAACAGACAAAAGCATTAAATAACATAATAACGGTGCATTTTTATAGGTCTGTCTATCTGGAGGGTGTCGTAAATACACAGGTATATAGAGGAATTCACCTGTTTACCTGTCTACACAGGTGTTAATTGATTCTTTTATTGACAGTCAATTTATTTTATCAGGTAGATCTCCTGTTTTTTAATGCGTTCGTTATTGTAAAATTTTCAAGAGTTTTATAATGGGTGAAACAAATTACTTTAATTCTGAGGTTCCTCTCTTCACACCTTTCTCTCTTATTTCTCGTAATCTCTTAACTCTTTATTCCTACCTCCCAAATTTTTCCACATAGACTTGCTTCCCTTCTTTGTCTCCCTCCACCCCCCAACCCTACCCCCCCTCTCTTACTCTGAGACAAGTAGAATAATCTATTTTCATTTTAGCCCTTTTACTTCATAAATGCATTTAGCCACTTAGTAATTACTATAAAATCTTAAAGACTAGCCGTATGTGTTTTGAAAAGGGTGTATATTGCACATGCAGATATCTTTTTTGCAGCCTAAACTTTTAGATATCACAATGCCAAGTGTTTTTAAGAACCCTATATTATGCTTTATTAAGTAATCCAATTCAACGTGAGAAGATTAATTAACTTTGAGTTTTAAAACTTGAAATTTTAATCCCTGAAATTTAACACTACCAGTTGACTGTCACATTATACCCCCCACACTTTACAGGGATTGAGAGGACAATGCCCCCCGCTGTGTGCAGTCAGTAACCAGAACTCTTGAACTAGGTATCAGTTACTATTTATGACCTAATTTGTTTTTCTTTAAAAAGCTTCTCTGTGTGTATATTTTGAGAATTTACTAATGAAAGTGCAGACAATGCTGATTCAAGGACAGAAATTTCTCAAAATGACCTATAGGGAACTTAATTATTGAAGTTCGCTATCCTTAGTATTTTTAATTTTATCATTCATGGACATGAAGGTCTAAAACAATCGGTATGTTTCAATATATTGTTAAGTTTGTAAGAAAAATATACAGATCGAGGTATACCATATGGAAAGAGTGTGGGTCTGTCAGCGCAAAAAGTTAAAATTGGTTCCGTAAACAATCCTTTTTCCTACATGTAGATTGTATTGGAAAAATGCATGTATAATCAAGGGTGATTTAAACTGATATTTCTAACTAATGAGGTTAATTAACAAATTAGCAATAGATATCTTACTTAATCAGTTGTTTAAAGTCTTTGATTGTTAATATACAGATATCCAAGATATAGACTGAGTTATATTTATTTCTGTTAGTTGACATGGATTTTAAAGTCTAGTATTATTGTTGGGTGTTTTCTTATGTTACTTGGTTCTTGTGTAAATTGTCACATTATTACAGCTAGTGGACGCTAGCTAGGATACATTTTATGGTATGGCTATACTGAATTCTTTCTTATAATGAAATTTATAAAAAAAAATAATAAATAAATAAAAAAAAAAATAAAAATAAAGTTAATTTTTCACATGTACAACACCCCACCATCACCCAAATTAAAAAAAAATATTATGAATAAAGATGGAAGATTAACATGATTAATGAGGTTCATCCGTTTCTGCAGAACTGTGTTATACTGTATGTACATGCAGTATGTGATGTGAACATAATTATGTAGCCGAATCAATATTACTGCTGCAAATTTTTGATTATTCTTGACTTTACGTGCATGAGGATCTTTATGATCAGAGCTTAATTAATTTATGTATTGTACAAATCTATGCAGGGTACCAATTAATGCAACCAATGTGCTACCAACGAAATTGGCAGTTGCAAATCACAAATTTTCACTGCATGCAGACAGGAATTAAAGACTGAAATTGAATTTTTGAATGAATGGACAGTGAAACACTCAAGACTTAATATAACAAATTGTCAGCTAGGTGCGGGCATTATTTAAAATCCTAGGAAAATGAAAATAACTTTGCTGTAAGTGTCAATTCATTGATTATTAGCATGATTTACTGCATATGTATATACAAATATGGCAGGACTGCAATTTCAAGATGACAAATGAAAATTTACTATGTCCTAAACTTTTGAAAGTTACTGTCATTTTTAGACAAGGACATGGGGGTCCTCTCAGCGTTTATCAGCCCTGTTTTGTCGGAAGTTAGGAGCAGTTCAGGGAAGATAGCCTGATACATCTTATAATTGGAATTAACTACCATTCCTTGGTCACCAAGATCAAAAGTAACTTGGGAGAAAAAAAAAACTGTATTTGTTTAAAAATTGGGTTTGGAATTTCTTTGGAGGCTTGAACATCATGTTGTCTAAGTAAAATTTATTTTTCCATGATATTGAAATAGGTTAAGTAAGTAAACTCGGATAACTCTTAAGTGTCATTTTATCATAGAAGATAGTTTCAACTGTGATAGTTTGAGGAGTATTTGAATTTAAAAATTTCAATTTAATATTGATGTTATATAAATTAAAAAAAGGATGGCGGAAATGTATTTCATGGGAATTTGGGAAATGTGATAAAAAATGGAGTTTTTTCACACTTTTCAGAAGTTTGAGTCAGGCCTACTTTACACTCGGATTTATCAATGCCAAAATGTGGGTTTAATTCAATTTCAAGTTCAGTTGCCATGGAGTAATTCATGATTTATGAAAAATGTTGGCTGACATCCCTTGATAGGGGCATTATTTCAGATCTAGCTCAGTCACCATGGTTACATGAATTAGTTTTTTCTTTTTCTTGACGTATTATAAGTGCATATTCCATATTCTGAATGAAATATGTTGCATATTAAAAGTCCAAGAAAAAAGTTTGCATAGGCAATGTACTATTAATGGAAGGGTACTAGTCAAGTTAGGCCTAGAAAAAAAATATGTTTGTTTCCGCTTTCAGGCTGAAAAAATATAGGGTAGGTAGGTAGGCAATTTTTTTTTTTTTTTGAAAATTTTTTTTTACTTCTTTAATCAAAAGGTGTATAGAAGGAACATTAATGACAAAAGAAATGGTGTTTTCAAGCATTACTGTGACTTAAACTTATAATAGAAAGGTGACTCAAACTTCTTTCTGTCTTGAAAAGCTTGCAAGGTTGGAGACTATAATTCCCTGGGTGAAATCTTGCACTTCATGGGACAAAAGCATTAAAAAAATTTTAGGGTCGGCACTATAAATTAGGGTCGGTCGGGAAAGCGGAAACAAACATATTTTTTTTCTAGGCCTTACTGTTTATTATAATTTAAATGATTTTTTATGCCCCCAAATCAAAGCTTTAGAGGTGTATAGTTTTTACCTATCCATCCATCTGTCTGTCTGTCTGTCTGTTTGTCTACTGTGACAAGGTACCAACATGCTTGACCTTGACCTTGGATTTTGAATGCTTTGCCTCTATCCTATAAATATTAAATTTCTATTTTAAAATCCACCAGTGCCCCTCGAATTCTCCAAGTCATAAACCTGTCTTGAGAGTTTCTCATATTTGGAATCTTTGTGTGACAGGGGATCATCTTCGGGTAATGTGAAGAGGTCTTGTTTACTCAGCTCTCGTCAGATGTGTATAACGAGGAATGTAATACGTACAGGAACCAGGGTGAATCGTGGGTAATTTTAATACGACCCTTTCTGAGCACGTTGTAAAACAGGACATTGGTTTGTGAATGATATTAGATGCTGGTCCTACTTTAAATTTCTCAAACTGATCGAGTTTAATATTATTCAGAGTTTGGAAATTTTTTTTAAGTTGAAGCTATATTTTAATCTTGATGCAATTACAGAATTTTGAGTCTTGATGTTTATGACTTGATGAAAGTGCTGCTAATGGGACTTATAAAATTAAGATAGTAAACAAAAGGGTGTGGAGAGAATTGGATGACA